AGCCATAAGAAAAAGCACCATAAGTACACTCTGTTGAAAAATGAACCGCCATTTTTCTGTATTTAATACACCCCACTAATCACATATGAAGTTTGCTGCTTCAGTAATTATGTTTGACACATGCACAATTAGATATAAGCCGCCATTACGAAATATCGGCGATCAAGTATCACGCTAGTAAATACGACATATCATCACGATAGTTCGTCCATCTCTGCGCATGCGCTAGCCACACAATTTCGCCAAGACCTGATAAATCGCCAAATTTAGTCGCGAGTTGCGTTTCCTATTAAGGAAGGAAAAATACGCTCTCCGGTATGGGTAAGCTATTAGAGAATATATCGTAAGCAGGATTCAACCTCACCTTGATAAGGTGCCGTTAGAGCAATTTGGGTTTAGGAAAGCCCTGTCCACAACTAAGCAGTTGGAGCCGCTAAAAGAGTTTATTGAAGATGCGCTGCACATCAAGAGATATGTGGTCTTGCTCATTCTGAACGTGGCGAAGGCATTCGACCGCGTCTGGCATGAGGAGCTTATTGATTTAAAGTTCAGCTGGGAGCTGATCCAGATTATTAAATCCTTTCTCACGGTTAGAACTTTCTTCGTGCACATTGCTAAAGACTCTTCAGATGACAAGCAGATGATGGCTGGCGTCCCTCAAAGGTCAATTTGTGACCCATTTAATATTTGTTCTATGTGGCGGACCTGCCTTCTACTGACATGGACTATTTGCTTTATGGGTTGTTATGCAGATGACACAGCGCTTGCTGTCAAGTCTGCATCTCCAAACTTTGCGATTACCAAACTCTAGATTATCATGTCGCAGCTAGAGATATGGTGCCCTAAATGGAACTGTTTCTACCCTTTTTGGTGTCAAGGCTGTTCTCCAAAAATATCCTAAATTCTGTCTGTAATTTCAGTGCCACAAAATGAAGCCGAATGTTTAATACAGCAAATAATTTTTGGTTTTTGAGATGCAACACAGGTGATTCATTAGTACACTTTCGTGGAGGACTTATAATTTTATTACGCATTTCAAGTGAGAATCCTCTGAATTTTCTATATTCATCTCTTCGCCTTTTATTAAAACAGAAGACAATTATTACAAATCTAAATGAAAAAGATATCATCAAAGATGTGAAACAGGCATATGCCCTGAAAGTGAATCAAACACAACCCTTTTCATTGTTGGCATAAAAAAATTGGTCGTCCAAAACATTCTCCAGCGGTGGTCCTTATTCTGATTGGTTGAATTTCATCTCTTCCTGGTGAGTTTTCTAGTGAAATAGACGCTAATGACGCTGTTGTGTCACTCATCGCAAGACTACAATTTCTTGATGTATAATCTACTTCCTGCGTGTTTATTATGTTTCAACTTGATTTTGCAATTCCCATATAGCAAATAACATTTTCATGTTTGTTTAACTCAGATACTAATCTAAGTTGCGCAAATGCGCTTATTCTTTCTAATTGCAGCCCACAACAACTAGAGGTCAAAACTCTTAGCGGCTGATAACTAAAGAACCACCAACGATGTCCAAAATTAGTGACATTTTTAAACGTATTTGTCGAAAATCACTGACAGGCTAAGGGTTAAAAAATCTTTTGAGCTACATGATTTCAAAATAAAAAATTCTGCAGATAAATTATGTAGCTCACAAGATTAAAATTAACTTCAAATTTATTTTTTAATATTTAAAATGTATACAGATATTACTTTATTATTATTTATTATTATAAAATGAATAAAAGTGTATTATGAAAAATTATTAGTTTTACAGCTAGTACGGCAGTGAACGCAATTGCACAAATCTTTATATTTTTCTTTGTGACATTTATATTATAGTGTACAAAATGTGTTAATTTGTAGTTCATACTATCAATAGGATATTAGTCAGTTGCTAAAAATTAAATTTTAAGTTGTATAAAATTATATATTAATTTTGAACTCCGCAGAACATTGGCATCGTTATTCTTACATGATTAAGTCCGTTACAATCAAGGAGGTTAGAATAGAAGGAGGGAGGGTTCGTAGTTTCCTCCACTATCGGGGAATGAAACTCCGCCGAACAAGCGGCGTCCATGTTTGTGACTTCAAAACATTGCATTACGGCAGTGACATGTACGTGTTTCTAAGCTGTTCCGTGCATTTATTTTCCAGTAAAAATATGTTAAATTTATAATGAAATCCCTCGCTATTGTTGAATTTTTGTTTTAAAGTAATAAAGATGATATCCATAATTTACTATGTACAGCAAATTATTAAGAAATAGTTCGAAATCTAAATGCATGCGCATAACATTAAAGCCTTTAAAAATGATGTTCTGCATATTTCACGGATTTGCTTAGGTTAGAAATAAATCTTAATAAAATAAAACGGATTTATGTGAATTCATTGATTTCAGTTTATGCGCATTTCATATTTATTAATCTCAAAGAAACTGCTTTAATTAATTAAGTTGAATTACAGAAATACACCTATATAAGTTTTTGGATACATCTTTCCACATGTTCAATTGTGTAAATATTTTACTTAATTTTATCACTATACTGCCCAGAAATTTGTAAGTTTATGCAAAAATTTTTAACAACAGAACAGTTATCTTAACTTAAGAAAATGAATAATAATTAATATATAAAGAAAAGCATTGCTTTATTAACACCTTTACAATTAATAAAAATAGTAACAATTGATTTCTTACTTTTCATGAAAGTTATAAAACGAATTAACTAAAACGTTCAAATTATACAATTTAAATCCTACCATATAGCATTGTATCTTAAGGAACGAAGATACCAGCTATAAACAGAAACATTAAAATGTATTTAATATATTTTGATTATAGTTATATTAAATAACCTATTTTGATTATTTAAGTCCCTTTTTTTTCACATCTGGAAAGAAAACCACATGACATTGTGATATTTTTTGACATAGTTGTCATATTACATAAAAAAGAAAATTGATACTTACGTGTGAAAAATAATGCCCGGAATTTTTTTCGAGAATCTATTTGTGCATCCATATGCAATACAAGCTGACATACTTCAAAAAGAAAAGAAAAAAATGTTGCAATGACAGATTTCCTTGCACAAGTCACGGTGATAACAGGAAGATGGCCGCCAAGCTTCACCGTTTGAGCTGAACCTTCCCTCCTTCTATTCTAACCTCCTTGGTTACAATTATGCGACTACAAACGCTGACGGTTTTCGGAAGTTAGCGGGTCTCACGTGACTGGTGGCAACAATACGTCACAAACTATTTGTCTGGGTTACTATAATTGGCTTTTTTTCACTTTTTTATGTGAATTTCGAGAAGTTTAGGTTATAGAAAATCCTTAATACCATGATGTAAACAAACACCGATTGCAAAAAATTATTTGGTAACTACATCCATTACGTATTGATAAATTTTTCGACATAATTACATGTAACTGCATTAATAACCAAATAAAACAAACTTAAATTACAAATGCGTTGTATTATGGAGCATGTAAGGAACTTCAGAATTATAGAATCCTAAAGATTTTTTTTTCCAAGTTACAAATATAACAAAATACGAGCAGTGTTATGATACATTTTTAAATCTTCATATTCGGCACATCTTTTCAGATTGCTTAGACAAGCACATAACTAAAATAAGATAATTAAAACACAATATATCAGCGCTAATACTACGTACCTTGCTATCACAGTAGCACGTGCAAGCAAAATGGCGAAAACCAATATTGCTTACTTCCAAAAATTACATTTGGCTTCATTTTTCAATTTTGGCGCAAATTACGGTAACCTCTTAGTGTTGCCATCGGTCACGTGAGACCCGCTAACTTCCGTAAACTCTCAGCGTCGCATTTGTCGTCGCATATATTTGCAAACCTCTACATAAGTTTGTCGTCGCATATATCTGCAAACCTCTACATGATTTAAGGGCGAACTGCATTTACAGTGCTCCGGAAATCTGACTATTACGATTTTCAGAAACCAACTATTTATATTTACCGTTCTGCTTGCTAAGATGATAAAATTATGACTTAAAATATTTATAGTAACTTTCTTTCCAGTGTAAAGAGCACTCTATGTAAACATGATTTAATGTACTCATTTTTACATTTTTTATAAATGAATTAATTATCAGGTCAAGGAAAGAATTCATAAATAAATATTAACAATCAAAACAGGGTAAAGCAGCGAGCAAAAGAGTATCATGAAGATAACAATAACATATGAGTTACCAAAATTATATTAACCAAGTGAATGAACAGTTAATTAATGGATGAAATAATAATTAAAGATGGAATGTAAATTTCATAACTAATTAAAATAAACAATGTTTCCGAATTTTCAACCCATGTACCACACCACAAGCTTGTTTGTTTACATTAGCAGTTCTTACATCACATGACCTCCGACTTCAACGAAATGTATCTCATTTCGAAGCACAATATTTAAGAATGGCACGCTTTTTTCATTCCTGACCTCACCTTTAATGTATTAAAGAACCTTGTTGCCAAAAGACTTAGCGGGTGCAAAACTAGACATCTGTTACCTCTTCTCTGTGTGAATTAAGCATAAATAATAGGACAAAAAATCGTGTTTTTCTCTAATATCTTATTAGGTGAGCGTTCCAGAAAGCAGAGTATTCATTCACCATATACCAGGTAGCCACGGAAAACTAGAGTGAAGCATTCAAGGGGTGCTTTGAATCAAATTTTACTTAACCAACTCATTTTATATTCACGAATATCATCCTAAGGTATCTAGCAAGTTACATGATAATCAAAGTTCATGTTTTGGAGTATGCAACAAATGTGGGTAAGATGCAATACTTAAAAAGAGCACATGCATACCCGCACTGAAGAAAAACCTCATGTGTATGAAGAATGGAAACACTCATTCAGGTAAAAAGTGTTTTAAAGAAACATAAGATTTTTCATACAAAAGAGAAATCTCATGCGTGTGAAGTGTGTAAGAAAATATTTACTCAGAAGCACAGTTTAAACATGCATATGCTTATTCACACACGGGACAAACCTTATGTGTGTGAAGTGTGTAAGAAGCCGTTTAGACGTAAGTTTACTTTAAACAAACATATGCGTATTCATACAGGTGAAAGACCTTATGTGTGTGAAGTATGTACGAAGGCATTTAGTCAAAAGTGTAGCTTAAGTGAACATATGCTTATTCACACAGGAGAGAAACCTTATATGTGTGAAGTGTGTAATAAGTTTTTCAGAAGAAAGTATCATTTAAAGAAGCATATGATTAGTCACACAGGAGACAAACCTTATGTGTGTGAAGTATGTATGATATCATTTAGTCGTAACAGTAGTTTAAATGAGCATATACTTATTCACACAGGAGAGAAACCGTATGCATGTAAAGTATGCAAGAAGTCATTTCGTCAGACGCGTTGTTTAAATTATCATATGCTTATTCACACAGAAGAGAAACCTTATGTATGTGAAGTATGTATGAAATCATTTAGTCGTAACAGTAGTTTAAATGAGCATATACTTATTCACACAGGAGCAAAACCTTATTTGTGTAAATTATGTAAGAAGGCATTTAATCAAAAGGGTGCTTTGAACAAGCATATGCGTATTCACACAGGAGAGAAACCTTATGTGTGTGAAGTGTGTGCAAAGTCATTTAGTCTAGGAGGTAATTTAAAGAAGCATATGCTTATTCATGCTGGGAGATAAACCATACGTGTGTGAAGTATGTGCAAAGTCATTTAGTCACAAGAAGTTTAGTCATATGACTATTCACACAGGAGAGAAACCTGAAAATATGTTTTAAACATGCATATGTGTATTCACACAGGAGAGAAACCTGAAAATATGTTTTAAACATGCATATGTGTATTCACACAGGAGAGAAATCTCATAAGTGTGAAGTATGTAAGAAGTCATTTAATACAAAGAATAAATTAAATGATCATATGCGTATTCACACAAGAGAAATATTTCCTGTGTGTGTACCTAGTCATTTAGGTGTATGGATCATTTAATCAGGCATATGTTTATTCATACAGGAGAGAAACCTTATATGTGTAACATAGATACAAAGTCCTTTAATCCCAAGACTAGTACGTAAGAGGAACCTCATATGTGTGAAGTATGTAAGAGGTCATTTAGTCCAAAATGTATTTTGAACTACCGTATGCTTATTCATGAAGGACAGAAATCTGATCTGTGTCAACTGTGTAACAAGTTATTTAGATAAAAGGCATATTCATCTGCATATTAAATAAGCATATTCTTATTCATGCATGAGAGAAGTGTTTATGTTAAGTTTGTAAAAAGTCATTTTTTTTCTGAAATGTGATTTAAGTATGTACACTGCTCAAAAAAAAAATGGGACAGTGCTATATCTCCCGCTCTACTGGGGCGATTCACGAAATTCAAATTGCGTTCTTCATGTCTCGAAAGCGCGACTTAGGATATATATTAGATTTATATATAGCACTATTCTAACATAGGTATTTTGACACAAAATCGGACTTTTTCTGAAATAACATACCAATATTTTTACATATTTCGATTCTACGACTCAAATTATGCCAAAATACCAAGTTTTGTAAAAATCGTACGAGTAGTTTTTGAAATATTAGTTCTCAAAATTTTAGCTCTCAATGTTAATTGAATTTGGCAAATATTTATTTATATCTCTTTTTTTTTATTAAACTTTTTTGATTTTTTTCTCTCACATTTCGAAATTTAGGTTCATTCCAAATAAAATTTACCCATTTTTTGTGTTTTATTTTTAAATTTCTATTTTTAAATAATTTTTATAAATTTTTCGAAAAAAATTTTGAATTATAACCTATAAAATTTTTACCATCATCTTAAGTAGGTATATTTTTAAGCATATCTGCAAAAAATTAGACTTTTTTATTCAAAATTTTCTAAGATATACACAAATTTACATATTTTCGCGTTTTGAAATTTGGCATCTTTTTTTGAGCGATAATAACGCCAAATGTGGTCTATGGATTTTGTTACACTGTATTGCCACAGCTATTTTTAACCTTAAATTTCAAGTAAAATTTTACAGATTAATTAAATGACATTTTTTTCCCTCAATGATGCGTAATAATATTTTATTAATACTATGAAAAGCTATTTTTATAAATAATTTTTTAATATTTTTTTTTAATTTCTCTGTATCTTTTTCTTTTTTTTTTTTTTTTTTTTTTTTTTTTTTTTTGTAAGAGTAAATTTTTTACCTCGGCGTTTTTTATCGTCTGCTACTTTACTTCAATTAAATTGAATTGTCTAAAACTGAGAATTTTCGTTTGATGTTTATTTGAATTTTATGACATTAACTGCACAATTTATTTCTAAACAAACTGATGCTTTTGAAGTGGCTGAAAGAGCGGCTGGTACTATCATCTATATTTTTAAAGCACAGTATATTTTTATAGAAACATAGGATTTTGAATAATCATTTTTATAAAAGTCAAATTATGATATAAATATACAACCATCTAGAAACTGAATTAATGGAAGTTCAATGGTTATGTAGAAATGATCTGCAGCTACTTAATCACTGGATAGTCAGCGATTCCGTGGACAAGTAAGAATAATTATATAAACGACAACCCAACATTCTGAATTCAATTAACAACGAGGATACGATGTTTATTAAATGAATTCAAAAAGTTTTAAAACATAAAAAATCAACTCATTTTTTATCCTAAAATGTATTTTTGTGAGTAGCGTATTTTCATTATTCTAATTTAAAATTCTAATAATTCTTAAAATTCTAATTTAGAATGTAATTGTCAAGAACTGATTCCTAATCATCAGTAATATAATAAGTAATTATTACGGTTATTAATAAATCCTTCTTATAAAGTAATTGCAAATATTTCAAAAAACTTTCTGTCTGAATGCAAATATTTTTCTGTGCAAATATTTTTAATTTTATATTAATCAAGATTGCACATGATATTATTTATTTGCACTTCAATTCTTAACGTCAGTTCTAGTAGAAGTTACAAATCAATTATATTTAATTAAGGATTGGATTGGATTATTTAATTATGGCAAAGCACACGAGGGCTATCTGCCTAAAGGGAGGGATGCCTTCGTGGAGGACTTTCTAAGGGAAACTGGCTCGTATACACGTTACACATCGGGAAAACCACGAAACACCCATGCAACCAGCCTTTCGCGGGATTCGAACCTCGGACCGAACTACCAGTGATCAGCGTCTTTACCGCTCGGCCGTTTGTGGGCCTTTATGAAATGGAAGGCGATAACTTTATTTAAAATGATTGTCAGAAATACCAAAATGTTTTGAAAAGTTGGATACTTTTTAATATACTTTCAGAAAGCTTAAAGAAAAAGAGAAGAAAAATAAATTTTTTCGTAAAATTTAGTATTTTTTTTTTTTTTTTTAATTTAAAACTTTTCAGTGTTATGATATTTGATTCTTGCGATTTCAAAAATAAAATATTTGACTAAAATATGAATAACATTTTTAAGAAACCAAATGTAGGATAAAATTGTGTAAAGCAATGGGCACAATGATAAAACTGTTTAAAGCAGTGTATGCAAGTCATCCTACGTTAAATGTCGGTTATTACATCTCTATTATTTATATATATCTTTTCTGAACGGAACATTGAAAGGCGTGTAAAACTGTGCTTTAGTGTATTTTCTCCTTTAATATAGTATGCAGTTTTCAAACTCATCGTAGTCTGTGTTACACAAAGTTTCTTCCGAAAGAAAAACGCAGTTCAAATAATAAAATCAAATTCTGGAAAATTGATATTAATAAATATATTTAAAATGCTCAGTTCGAAGAAATAAATAGAAATTTTAAATAATTATCTGAAGAGACAATGCAACACAAACAATTAAAATAAAAGTATAAAAATTTAAAAATTACCTAAAATAATAACTATGACGAAAAATATATATAAAGAAACTATTTTAAAAAAATAAACGCTGCACCTTTATTTACGCAGTTCGATAGGTAAATAGAAATTTTTAAAACAGTTATTCGAAAAAAAAAAAAAAAAAAAAAAAAAACGTGCAACTTAAACAATTAAATGAAATTCGAAAAAGAAAAAATTACTTAAAATAATAAGTTATAATTAAAAATATAAAGAATTTATTTGGAAAAAAGGAACGATGGTGACTTTTTTTCCTCTCATGGGAAAGGAACTAGGTTGCCATATATTAAGAAGTTCGCCAAGTGAAGTATTCTTGGCGCAAACTGACCAAAAAGTGCCAACATAAATTTGTGAATTTCTCCGTAAATTTCGCTCCAAATTTTACAAAATTTCATATTTAGGCGTAATTTGAGTCGTAGATCGAAATATGTAAAAAAAATTGGTATGTTACTTCAGAAAAAGTCCGATTTTTGTGTCAAAATACCTATGTTAGAATAGTGCTATATATAAATCTAATATATATCCTAAGTCGCGCTTTCGAGACATGAAGAACGCAATTTGAATTTTGTCAATCGGCCCAGTAGATCGGAAGATACAGGACTGTCCCATTTTTTTTTTTTTTTTTTTTTTTTTTTTTTTTTTTTTTTTGAGCAGTGTACATTCATAGAAGAGTGAAATCTCGTGAACTATGTATGTAGGAAGTCATTTCGACAGAAGAATTTGTAAAAAACTTGTTTTGCTACCCTGAACTATACTCGTTTACTTTATACTATACGAGATAGAAGCCTTTGGAGTATTAAAAATCTCAGTTTTGAGTGATACTCGGTGGTAGAATTTTGGATTTGGAGACATTATCCAGATGGTGTAAAGACGTCTGCTGACCCTGTGTGAGGTATGTAAATTCTCATCTGTTCAAAATAAATAGTAAACCATTTATTTGTTTCCATAAGAGAGAAAATTTCATATATGCAAAGTAAATCTCGAGTAATTTTAAAGAAATACTGACTTGAAGCAGCATATACTTATCTAAGTGAAACAGAGCTGCAGCTAGAGTTTACAGCGTCCAGGGACAACTGAAGGTCTTGTGCCATTTCCTATTTGCCAACAGCGAGAAAACGTTTTATTCTAAAAATTTGCCACTTCAGTTTGGCACTCACTGGAACCTCGGATCGGGAAATAATGTCCCCCCTTGCCCCCTCCAACTACACCCTTGATGTAAAACTAGAGCTTCTTGAGCAAATAAGTTTTTCTCTTTATAATTGTTATATGCATATGTATTTCATATTTTTCGTAGCAATCGCTGTTCACTGTCTCTTTGTAAGTGTTCAGTCATTATATCTATCACTTACCAAAATGCTTTGGCTTTATCACATGCTTGTTACCACTTTGAAATACATTGAGTACTGAAATTCTGAAGAACGGCAGAACATTTGGGTGAGTGCGAAGCACTGTCAAATTTTTCTTGTAGATTTCAGCGCTATTGGCAGGCAAGGAGTTTAATGGCCTAACAGCCAATGTAACTGGCATTTGACAATTAAATAAGATTCTGAAGCATGGCTAAATGTTTCATCCATATGTGCATTATAACTTATATGTGCTTTGTGTTAAATATGGTTCTTTCTGACTTTAATCCAGATACCAATCACAGCTCTGTAATTAGTGATAGAAAGGTCTTCCTTGTGCATGTAATGAAATATTGTATAAGTTACTTCCATTCATAGAACAAATACTGAAGACCATAGCTTATCCACCTGAAGTATCTAATACAGTCAAAAGTCGTTAATTCGGACACCCATA